CCCGCGGTCCCCTCCCCGCCCCCGCGCCTCACACACGTAGTACTACGGCGAGGCGCACACGGCTTGTTACCGCTTACCGCAGGGCTTGCCCAAGGCCTCATTACATTACCAATCAATGATGGCGAAAACGTTATTCAATTTCGACTGGGCGCCGCACGACACGAGGAAGGCCCTGCTGCTGCTATCCGAGCCCGGCGTGGTGGAGAGGGGGAGGGAGGCCGCGCGGGGCCGAACCGAACCGTCGTCGCTCTCGGTTGTACTCGTGCGAGCCTACTTCGCAACGGAGAAGGGGCCTTCTTCTTCTCAGTGGTGTCGGGGTCCGCTGAAAGGGTTTCACACTCCACTGCGGGTCTCGTAGCGGTCGGCGGGGTCCTCGCCTTGTCCAGCCCTCCCCGACCACCTCGAGGTCCTCAGGCCGGCCCCCGCCACCCGCGTTTCCCGCGGGGACACACACGGAAGCAAAAACGTAAGGAGTTACATGAGAGCAGCAGCAGCGGGGCGATAAATGGAGTACAGGGGCGGACCGCAGGGGTACTGCAGGGACTCTAGTAGTATAGTGGGTCCCCGCGGGCGTCCTGCCTGCGGGCCCGCTGCGGGCTCCAGGAACAGCAGAAAACAACATCATCAGCAGCGGTGGCCGGCGGTGGCGGTCCCGTGTGTTGTTCCTGGTGCACCAAAGTGCGCGGGCCGTGCGGGCCGAGGTGGGACGCGGCACGGCACGGCTGCTGAACGTGCGCGCGCGCTCGGCCTGGGGAGTGGGGCCAACAGGAAAGGGAGAAGGAAAGTCGTTACATTTCGCTGGGGACCTTAAACTGCCCGCGTGGACTTTTGGCCGTATTGGAGGCGGTCAGTAACCTGAGCGCACCTCTCTCTCTAACCTTCGCTTCACGCCTCAGTGCGTGCGCCGCTGCCAGAAAGGGAGAGAAGGGGGAGGGGGGTTCCCTGCGGGGGCCCTAAAGGTCAGCCGCTCCATATCGCACGACGGCTTCCAAACTTCGAGCGCAGACTTGCTTTCATCCACCCGGCTGGCGCTGACGCTGATGGTGTTCGAGTGCGTTCGGACCGCGCCACGGACGCGTAGTGCAAGGCAGAGATGGATCGTCCTCAACACAGCGCTGACCTTTATGTCGTCCACGCTGTCCATCCGTGCAACACAGCGAAATTTGGACAATAATTGCCCCTTTCCCGCCCTACCCTCCCTCTCTCGAAATTATTATGCACAGTATTGCTCCCCTGGAGGAAAGGCGAACACAGGGGAGGGGGGGGATAGGCCCTAAGGTACCGCAGCGATACCGCAGGCGAACGTGACCGCCCCGACCCACGTCATATCTGATTTCCCTTTCTACCGGACAGCGGCCGGCAGCAGAGCTGCATTCATTCGCCCATTCATTTATTCCTTCAGACTTTGTGTTCAGAATCTTCGTTCGACCATAATTTCACCCAGTCTACGTCTTTTAAATTAATTTTAGTTCAGACATTTGTACGGAGTCTTTTGACATTCATTTTCAAAAAGGCGCAAAACCCGCGGCGCGCACACGGCGGCGACGTGTTCCCTGCGGCCAGAAACGGTAAAAGGACCCGAGGCGGCAGAGCGTGGCCGCGGCGTTCGCAAATAACCATCGCTGCACCTCTAAACCCACGCAGCGCCCCGCCACGCCCCCCAGCCGTTGGATCGGCCGTTAAGTCCCTTGTAAAAGGAACATTATTTGTAACGGCGGGGCGTGGCGGTGTGCGGCAGGGCGTGGCGCGGCGCGGCGGGTCCAGAAACACACCCACAAAGGAGAACGACGACACCACTGCGGCTGCGGCGCGTCTGCGGTGCGGGGCAGGACGGCCAGGTTTATCGCCTCGTCGCCCCCCTTTTGGAAGTAAATGAAAAAGGGAACCTTTCGAACGTTCGTGTTTCTTTTAGCCGGGCCCCCGAGTCGTTTAGGCACCACACGCCGCCGTTTTCAATTGTGCCGACAGTTCGCAGAAATCGCGCCCGTCGCCCGCAAGTACCTCCTCCTCCTCTCCCTCACCCCCCGCCGCGCGCAGAGAGGAGTTCCCATGATTTAAATGACAACCCCCGCGCGTCTCAAGCCTACAGCGCGCGCGCGCGCTCCGGCCGCTTGTCCCGTGGCGGGGCGTATTAGAATATTTCGAGGCGAGAATCACGTCGCAACCGCGGCCGCCGCCGGCCAGGTCGGCCTCGAGCATAACAAATAATTATTTCCGACGTTTTGTGGGAATCCATCACACGCCCCGCCCCGCCCGCTCACTCAGAAACCGTTAGCGGAAACAGAAACACCCCGGCCAGTGCGGCGGGGCGCCGCGCACCAGACAGGCCCGGCCTGACCGTCTTACCTCATAGTTTGCCTCACGATGACCCGCCCAGCCCAGGGACTGACCTGCCTCATGACATGGCACGGACTCTCGTGGCGTGGACGCGGCATCCTCCTCAACCGTCTCATGGCAGCGGCAGGACTCGTCCTCAACTGCGTTGCACAGGTCCGAAATTCCACGGCGACGAAGAGCACCTTGGAGGGGAGCGCGGCCAAAAATTGTCGATAGATGCCGCGGAGCCGTTTTCGGCGCCCCTATGGTTACCCGCGTGTGCTAACTTTGGACTTCACCCTCCAACCCCGACGCCATCTCATCACGGTGCGGAAACACACCCCAGACTCAGGACCGCCGCCGCCGCCGGGTCGGGCCGTATTTCATCAACAGCGAGACGTGTTTTACGACGTCTGCGGGCCGAAACCAAAAAGCAAACGCACAACAATGCTTTCCCCCGCGCGCGGACCGTCGTCGTGTTGATGCCATTTGACGACCGGGTGACGGTGACGCGGTGTGACGGTACGGCCAGACGGGACGGTATGAGAAATTTGGCGGTGCGGGTCTTACGGGGGAGAGTGAAAACACTGCAGTGCAAGCAATAAGCCGGCTGGTCTGGGCAGTCAGTGCCCTCCCGGCCGGCCGGGGCAGACACCGGAACCAAGTGGTCCTGCGGGCCCTGCTG